AGATTGATCAGCAGCTGGGGCACAGTGCTGGTGGTATAGCAGAGGTCCAGGAAGGAGAGGTGGCAGAGGAAGAAGTACATGGGTGTGTGCAATCGAGGGTCCAGTCGTGAGAGAGCGATGATGGTGGTGTTGCCAAAGAGGGTTAGGGAGTAGAAAATCGAAATATAGATAAAAAGGATGAGTTCCAGTTGAGGCCAATCTGAGAAGCCCACTAAAATGAAGCCCTCTCCAAAACTGGTGTTGAAAGTTCCCATAGCCTTTCACCTGCATGTATAACAGAAGACAATATAATGCCTCCTATGAAGAACTTGAATTAAAGCATTACTTTCAATTATCCCTTAGTATTTTTCATTTTCTATTTCACTATTTAGTTCAGCTATGCTCACTCTTCTATTTTTATTCTTATCTTATTACTCTTCATTACATTGAGATAAGGACAAAATGAAGCAATGTGAAAATTCCTTTTAAAATCTAACATGTGGGGCTGGGATTGTGGCTCAGCATTAAAGCGCTTGCCTAGCATATGCAAGGCCCTGGGTTCGATCCTTAGCACCACATAAAAATAAAGAGATAAACTAAATGTATTGTGTCCAACTACAACTAAAAAATGAACATTAAAAAAATGTAATATGTGCCGGAGTGGTGGTGCATGCCTATAATCCCAGGGGCTTAGGAGTCTGAGACAAGAAGATTGTGGGTTTAAAGCCAGCCTCAGCAATGGTGAGGTACTAAGCAACTCAGTGAGTCCTGTCTCTAAATAAAACACAAAATAGGGCTGAGATGTGGCTCAGTGGCCAAGAGCTCCTAAGTTCAATTCCTGATATCCCACCCCCCCCAAAAAAAAACTAACATGCAAAAATGTAGCATTGCTTTTTTCTGTTGTTCCCTTTGCCCTTTTCCTTGGTCTACTAGGTATCTTATTTCACATTTCCTTTTAATGACCACCACAGTAAAGAGCCTTAGAATGTGAATTAGGTCCCTACTGATCAATTCTACCATTGACAGCTGTTCTACATTATAGTGAAAAGCTCATATCTATGAGTCTTTCATTTAAAACTAAGAAAATAACTTATTTCACATGATTTTGATGAAAATTAAATAATGTAGTGCATTCTGAAAGTTACAATAAAAACAGCTATTCTCAATTTTAACAGTCATAATGCTCCATCACTAATATTGGAGTTCCGTGCAATTGGGTCTGCTTAATTTTTTCACCCTTATATCCCTATCCCAGGGCAATGCCTGGGAAATACAAGGCTCTCAGCAACCATTTTTGAATTAATTAATGAATGCATCCCCCACCCTGACACTGTTCCTT